GTTATCCTATTTATCATGTATTTGTGTATCAATTTATTCTTAAAAATAGAAGATTGTGAGAGAGATCAATTAAGCCCTCTAGAATTATTTTACAGTTTCAATCTTAAGTTGGTATCAGAGCGAGTCGATCCCGCTCTGGTTTCTATCTCGTAATATATATTTGTCCGACGCCACAGTTCTTCGTTGCCCGCCATCGTCCGCCGCTGGCCACCATCCACCGTCCACCGCCGGCCACCGTCCGCCCACCGTCGTCGCCGGCCATCGCCCGCCGTTGCCGGCCACCGTCGTCCATCACTGTCACAGTTTCCTTCGTCTAAACCCTTAGGGTTTTCTTGTTCCTCGCTAGTACTATTCGTCTTCTTCAGAAATGGCGTCTGGCAATACTCTTTCCTTTTCCGGAAGTCCATCAATTACCTCCGAGGAGCTAAATGGAAAAATTTATCTATCATGGTCTGCTACCGTGAAATGTGGTTCGTTGGCCAAGGGCATTATGACCACTTGAGCGAGATGGAGACGCCATGTGCCTACTGAAAAAGCTACAGTGGAAAACAAGCAATTCAGTTGTGGCCCTGGTTATGGCATAGGGACCCAAACTTCTTGTATCTTTGAGGGCTTTCAAACTTGTCACTCCTTTGAAGAAAGCCCAAAGCATTTATGCCAACGTCATTCACAAGCTCTTATACACTACAACAACTAGCTTGCATCTCGTTAACATGGCAGACCATGATGGCTAAAAGCCCAATCGCTGTCGAAGAACTTAGGATGTTTTGGAAGTAGATTCATTAAGAGGATATAAAAAAGAAACTAGACAAATTTTACATGGTGTTGATCCTTCGTGTCCTACATCCCGATTTTGATCATCTTAGAATCAACTTCTAACTATGTCATGAGGTCCCCTCTATGGAAACATTGACCACTCGTCTTCTGTGTGTCCCGGTACTCAAACCTCAAGAAGCGCATGAACTAGTGGAACTATCTGTCATGGTTGCCACACGAGGAAGACGAGGACGTGGCACCAAAGGAAGAGGAGGACGTGGCACTAGAGGAAGAGGACGAGGAGGTCGGGGACGTTCCAATGCAATACGGTAAAAGGATGGGTATACTCAAGAGAATTGCTGGACTCCTTAACATGGTTTCCCTTCCAAAACCGCACAATATTTCGAATACTGAAACTTTCACTTCGAAGATTGAACATTCCACTTTATGTTTTCTTAGGCTGAATATCAAGAGTATTTAAGGTTTAAAGTCTACAAGCTTGGCAAACCATCTCAATCTCCTAAGTACACCAACAGCCTGCTTTTTGCTTCTATTGGAGGTCAAAATTCATGGGTCAATTGACTCAAGTGCTTCTAATCACCATTTCTAGGGTCCAAATGACCAATGTCTTTGTTCTCATCTATTTTCTTTCGAGAAAAACCTCATTTCATAACCTTTGATCATAAATCTTTTGTTATATAGGAGCGTGGTTCGGGGAGACAAATTGGAGAAGGATATGAAGCTGACGGATTATACCATTTTGGATCTCGTCCAAGGGTGTCCTGTGTGTCTGCTCCTAATCCTAAAGTGCTACATATCGAACTTGGCATCCTCATTTGTCCCAAATTAAAAAAGATGTTGTCCTGAACTTATTTGTCTCCAACCTTAGAATGTGCGTCATGTCAATTAAGAAAACATGGTTAGTTCTTCCTTCCTAAAGGTTCTCAATCCCCTAGACACAATATAATCATGATAAATAGGGTAACCCTTGACACAGTATAATCATGATAAATAGAGTAACCTTTGACACACTATAATGATGATAAAATACGATAAATATCCTAACAAACTCAAACAAAATTATTAATAAATCCCTCACATTTAAGTTTATCCCAACAAATTAGCATGCGATAATGCAAAGTCAATAGATATTCATTAAAAGAAACACGTACTTCAGTGAGCTCAGACAAATGGCGGGATCTGAATTCGTTTATGGTTGCTGCAATCTCTGATGTAGGAAGTTTAGCCTGAAGAGGTAATGCTTAGTGTCATATCCATGGACCATGTTATAGCATTGATTAAAAGGCTTCATCAATTAGAAAAATAGTATGATGAGAACCTTTTGTGTGCTCCTATTCTCATTTAAGGTTCAATTAGACACCTGGTTATTTTATTTTCAGTTTCCCCCACTTTTCAATTGCAAAAACATCCAGACTCTGGAGTCTTCAATGAAATATATTACCAATTTTACCATGTCAGAAAGATTGAACAAAAACTAAGTAAATCAGTTATACGATATTGAAAAAATAATCAGTGCTTCAAATATTGTGACACAGATTCAATCATTAGAACAACAAACATGATCTTTTACCTCAATACGGTGTGTGTCCTCTCAGATAAGTATTAGGACGTAAAAAGTTCATTCAGTGTGTAAATATGTCTGCCCAAACAATATGATAGTTACCTGAGCAAGAACTGCAGCAGCTAGTTGAAGGCTTGGTTCCAAGGTCTCTGGAACAACCTGAAAAACAGGTGGAACAGACATAAATAATAGACAAGAAAGGCTATCCTAAGATTAATAGTACGAGAGTTAATAGAATATTACTGCGGTAGCTCCAGCCTTTTCCAAATTCAATCCATGATCAACATCGTGAGCGCGAACAAAAGTTTTGACGTTTGGGAAGTATTTGCTCAAAGCCCAAACTGTTCTATAATTAGCTCCAGGTGAATCTAGAGTTACTGCAGCGGCACTTGCCCTTTCAGCTCCAACCTTATGTAGGACCTTATCATAGAATCGAAAGCACGTCAGGTAACAAAGATGCATGCAAACTCAAGTACTCAAGTCATATATACTACCTCTCGACTACCAGCATCTCCAAAGTACACAGGGAGATCCAGGGCACGTCCAATTGCCACTCTATCACTGGAGACATTACCAAACATAAAGACAGATTAGGTTAGCATATGCTATTCTTATACAAAATTATGTACATCATACATGTTAGTTCACACATCTTTCGATAAAATTATATGATAGAATCTTAAAGATTATCTTATAGTAGCATTTACCCAATAAATACAATTGCAGTTGTTGGTCAAAAAATATAGTTACAAGAAAAACAATATTTTCAGATAGTATTGACTTACCTTCTCACGTCTAGTGCAACAAAAGGAATAAGTTGTTCAGAAAGAAGTTGTGCGATGATCTTGAAATAACAAAATTGGAAACTGTTATATTTGAATAACAATGAGAAAATTATTAAAATTAACTCATTAAACCAAAATAGAAAGAACTCACTTGCCCAACTCGCCCAAATCCACAAATAATGATATGATTTTGCAAATCGTCTGTCTGTAAAAGATGCCTCCAAAAGGAAGTCAACAACTAATTGTACAATTCAAAACTAAATAAAAAAAAAACAACAAATGCTGAATCAATTTGGTTTAACTGCCTGCATTGTCTACAAACGAAGGCATAGATGAGTTACTGTGGAATTTACTAAACTAAACCATTCTGAATTTGAGATAATAAATAAGGATAATTAATTGGAAAAGTTTAATCATGTGATTAAAAGAGCGCGGAGAAGATAATATTTCCAATGGAAGAAATAAAATTTAATTTAGCTGACGAGAGTTTCAGATCAATTCAGTAATTTTGGCCACTTAATCATTATTACAATTATGAAGATATAAATTATAAAGTTGGTGCTATAGCTATAAATTTCAATGTCTTACCTCACTTTCTACAGGTAATAATCTTCGCACATCATGCACCTCGAAACGGGAAGCAAGGAACTGCCCTCCTGCAGCTAGCCAAGGAGTGAGGGCCATTGAAATCCCCACAACAAGAAACAGTAAGGAGGACATCTGGGAAGACATTATGCCCTGCGTAAGTATCAAATGCCAAGAATATTTTAGTTTCTATAACATGTTAAAATTCAATGAGCGAAAAATTCTTAACTATCAGTAAATTAATCGATTAGTATTTTCAAATTTCATCTTTTTAAAAGATAAAAAAATATAAGTTGAAGTAACAAACATAAAGATGCATTAGTTAAAAGCCACGGCAAGCAGAATGATATATTTGAAATAAACAGAATAATTATTTATAACAGATAAACCCTGCGAAAGCAAAAAAGTTTTCAGGGATAAAAACCTGATTAACAGCTTCACCAAAAGCCACAAATGCAAATTCTCCCCCAGGAGCAAGAAGAAGGCCAACTCTAATAGCAGAAATGAGAGAAATACCAAATATTCTACCAATTAAAGAAACCAACAAAGTCTTGCCAAATATCAAAAGTCCCAAGGTCCCAGTAACGACTGAAAAGTTTGAAACAAGAAGTTTTGGATCAATTGACATTCCAACCTGAAAATCCACAAATTAATTTCCATTAATTTCAAGGATTGAAGTTGGCTTGCTCAGAAAGTGATAAATGTAAAGACAGATATTCCTTGTTGTAGAAGACTTACAAAAGGATTATTCTAACATTTTTTTACATAAAAAAGAAGAATGTTATTGCATCCCTATATTGTTTACAATCCTAACCAGTTTAACACTACAACCTCTACCTCTACCATATGCAGCATTCTTAATAAAATTAAAAGCAAAAAGGAATACAGAAACGGGGCAGCCAAACCAAAACCCATTAAGAAAATCTATAATATGGGAGATCTCTACAAAAATCAAAGACAAAACCCACTAAGAATTACTTGAACATAAGCAATTAACAGCAGATAAAAAAAATACAAAATAGATTATGTTGAAAAATAAACAAAACAACTAGCTAACTATTAAATTGGAGTATTAAGCACAAACCGTCATAAAGAAGAGACCCAGGAGAAGGCCACGGTACGGGGCAATATCAGATTCAACCTGTAAGGAAAACTCTGTTTCTGCCAATAGTAAACCTGCCAAAAATGCCCCCAATGCCATTGAAAGTCCAGCCTGTTTTAAGTGAGAAAAACCATATTAACAAAGGTAAAAAAGTATGGCTAACACAACAACAAAAAGGTTCACTTCAACGGGCAGAAGAATAACTTCAAGAAAACTACCAAACCTCAGCTTGACTCAAAACCAAAAACAAAGGGGAAAAAAAGAAATAGAAAAAATTGACAGAAAACACCTACCCTGGCTGTGAGAAGGCTAGTCCCAAGAATAACGAAGAGTGTATTGGCAGAAAATATTTCTGCATTTTGATTCTCTGCAATCTGCTTATATATGGGTCGCAGGAGCTTGCAAAGAGGGGTGAGCAAAATTACATAGAAAAAGTTAGAGTCAAATAAAGAAATGTCATAAGATGACTTCCCAAGGATCCAAATATATAGCTCAGGACTTTAAAAAAAAAACTTTATATCATATATAGGATTTGGATACATTTGACAATAACTATGTTAAATTCCAGATCCATTTAATCCCTGCAGCCCAAGAGAGTTCACCCAAGACCTCAATGAACAAATGTTAAGTAGAATATCTAAATGTGCACAATACCAGATTATAAATCAAATTTCTTTGTATAATATACAATCTGTGGTACATGGTCAGTAATTTGTACCAAAACCCCATATCAACCTTTAGATGTCAGCATATCTACACTGAATAATAGAATAAGTGGTTTATTGTTACTCTTCATGTCTTATATGATGATTTAAGAATGTACTTTTTAAAATAATTATTGAAACAGTGCTGCTCATTTTTTAGGAAGTTTTTTATTTTATCCTTGTTATATTTTTAATCTTTATTACATGTGTATCTTGCTATTAAAACTAGGATTATATATTTAAGGCTTAATTACCTACTTAATCCCCATGTTAGGAGGTAATTTTCTGTTTAGTACCCAGTTTTAAAAATGTAGGCATTTGGTACCTATGTTTTGAAATTTGTATCAATTCAATCCTATCCAGTTAACGGCATTATAATTGATGCGAGAAATTAAGGACGTTAATGATAGCCTGGGTGGAATAGCTATCAAATGTTTGAATGCATCTTCATTAACGTCCTTAATTTCTCGTATCAATTATAACGCCGTTAACTGGATATGATTGAATTGATACAAATTTCAAAACATAGGTACCAAATGCCTACATTTTTAAAACCGGGTACTAAACAGAAAATTACCTCCTAACATGGGGACTAAGTAGGTAATTAAGCCTATATTTAAAAACAACCCCATAATTACAATGATTTGTTTCTTTAGAATTAGCTCTCTATATTTTCTAAAATAAACAGCAGACTCATATTTATAGCTCCAATGACCTCATTATTGTAATATAGAAGAAATATATTATTCTTTCTAAATTCTGAGAATAACAAACCAAAATAGATGAACAAATAAGAATATGCAAATATCTTAATCAATCAGAAAAAATTAACCATCAGTTCTACAATTTAGGAGTATATTTTAATTAATAGAAATGACAGGTCTACATCTTAAATTCTGATACTTACCAATCGTCCACCTGCAATTATGGCAGCAATGGCAATCAATGCCTTAACAGCGGCCAAACCAAGTGCTTCAGCAATGGCTTGAAAGCCAACCTGAAGACAAAGAATGATGTTTCACAATGGAGACAACATAGGTAATGACCATTGTATACAAGGGCAACAATCATGATTCCAATTACAGAAGTAAGGCAAAATTATTGGCTTAAAATTAAGTGTTTAACATGGACCACCTTTAATTAGAAAGATCAAACTGTGCTTAAGTCCTCTTAATGCATATATCATAAAATTACAAAAATGAAATAATCAAGTTACATGCATGTCTTCTAAACAATAAAGAACTCCCATATTGAGTATTGATGGGGTTGACCATAGCCAAACACCCTTGTCATAAAGTATCTCCCGCTACACAAGAACTCATGCAAATTTAAGTAGCCATGTTCTAAATCTCATGACCATGACATTGTCTATTATCTAATAAGAGTTTAAGAGAGAATATTAGACAATATTACCCCTCCTTTGGAAGAATTAGGTGAAATTAGAGGTATGAGTATCAGCAAGACAACCACTGCCAAATCCTGAATAGAAACGAAGTCAGTCAGTTTTGGTGAAAATATTGCAATATCAAACTTGCTTAAGATAAAAAAGAAAAAAAATTAATGTCATAAACAACAGACATAATAATTGACAACAAGATAGAGACAATGAGAATCTATACCAGTATATTAAAAAAATGCCAAATATATATGTGTATGCACAGCAATTTAAAATCTATACCCCAAATCTATAGCAGATTTAAAATTCACAATTTCATCCTCCTTCACTAGGAGGATGCCTGTTTAGTATCTGTCAAAGGATAAGAACTACTTATTTCAAATTACAATAGGTATGTATTTTATCTGTGTTTGCTAGATTTTAGGAGTACTCAAACCAATTAACTATAACATGAAGCACAAAAACCTAACTAAAGCAGCCCGAAACCGTCGCACCAAGTTGCATGGTACAAATTAATATGGAACACCTACGTGTCCCCAGCCAAACCTTTTATCACATGGAGCCTCATGCATTATCACATGACAATAGAAGACCACCTACATAGGAGGGGTTATGGATGGTATTGTGTTGTAGACTTGTAATTTAGTCAAGGAAACTACAACACATCTTTTTTCTAGTTTTTGACTTCAACAAAAAATTGGAGCTGGGCGCAGTTTTTATTTGATTATCACAATGTCCCCATCTCTTAAAAATTCATTATTGAGATTCTTCAAGTCAAATATAAGGATCAGGTCAAAGATATGGATTCTTTAGTCGTTATCCATGTTGTTTGGGTTATCTGGGATATGCTTAAAAACTCTGTTTTGAAAGATCTAGATCTTTCTTTTCAGCAAGTCTATCTCTATTTCTAATTGCTTCTGCAGTTTCTACTATGGGTAACACGTCACAATATATGCCTCAAATTCTAGAGTTTTGCATTCCTAGAAGGTTTTTCCTTCTAGACCATCCTCATAAAGAACCTCATGATTTCTGATACATTAGTTACTTGGAGTGACTCTACACATTTCATTTCATTTTTATAAGTATTATATCTATTTCTAACATGCTTACACCCTAGTGTAAGTATGTCAATTTCATAAAAAAAATTTCTGAATCTGACATGAAAATTTTGCAGTTTCTAGATAGATGATTAAGATTATAAGTTGACCTGAAAAAGTAAAACCGAGAACGTAGCCCTTCCATGCCGTGATGTGCTTTCACCTCTCTCCTGTAACACCTGCAAAACAAGTTCATTTGAATTATTTCCACATGAAAGACATGGCAGACTATACAGCAAGAAAGAACAGTCTCAAAATCTTTCAGAGTGGTATATCTGTCAAAGCTATAGGTGTCAAGCTTATTAAGTAATGACATTCTTAATACGGGCAAACTACAAATGAAAATCCAGTCACAGTTAATATCTTCAGAAAGGTAGCTGTCACCTTATTTGAATTTGCATTAAAAGTTGAAGTGGTAGCATGTGAATGTTTTGTACAGAGAAATTTTTTTAAAAACGAGATCTAAAGTTACTTACTTGCAAAACAACAGCAGTTGATGATAATGCTAGACCATTCCCAATGACAATAGCAGCAGGGCCAGCTTGACCACAAATATAATGAGCTACCAAACCAACAACTACAGCAGTCACCAAAACCTACACTTTTCCATACATGCTAAGAACTGTTAGTTTGTGTAGCCTAACATAAACAACAATAATAAGGATGGAAGACGAAGTTTTCCCATCACCTGAGCAGATCCCAATCCAAAAACATACTTCTTCATTGAACTAAGCCTTTCAACAGAAAGCTATAAAAATAGAGTTCAGAACTTCAGTTTTTTATAATTACAGAGATTATCCAAGCTAAGGAAAAAGAAGATATTATAGGAAACTCCACCTCCAAGCCAATATTGAATAACAGGAAAACAACTCCAAACTCGGCTATTGCTTTTGTCCCATGTACATGACGAATAATGGAAAGACCATATGGCCCAATCAAGATACCAGCAGCCAAGTAGCCAAGAACAGGACTGCCTAAACATTGTTGCAGATAGAGATGATTGTTAGTCAATCAATTTTATCAAGTTATGACTTAAAAAGAATTCCCTATCCCGAAACTAATTCAGATCATGATTGGAAGCCTGTGATAACACTTTTTTTATTCAATTCAAGCAACCAAATTTTTTTCAAGCATAGCAACTTCATTTATTATCATAACTCAATAAACAAAGGGAATCAATTATCATAATCAAACCAACTGTTAAATTTGGGAGAGAAAATGTAGAGATGAAAATATTACTCCA